CCCATGGCCAGAGACCAGGGCAGGGAGTCAGGAAGACCCAGCGGGCCCTGCTGGGGAGAGCGCCCTGCACCTACCTCGTTGGACTGGCGGATGGTCTGCAGGGGGATCCACACCGTCCCCACCATGGTGTCCCAGATCAGCCCCTTGTTCCACACCTCCACCGTCAGCCCCAGGTCCAGCCGGTTGATCTCACTGCTGTGGGCTTCCCCCACCAGCCCCATCTGGCTGGTTGCCTCTCAAGGGCCTGGGCAGCCTGGCCCGCTGCCCCCCGCACCCCACACATGCCACAGGGACATAGTGGAGTGGCTGGGAGCCAGCCCCCCCGCCCCATTCCCATAGCACCCCCTGCTGGGAGAGGCTGGCCCTGGCTGCAGGGAGCGGCCCCCGTCCCCAAGCCAGCGAGGGTGGACGGGCAATCGCAAGATCGCACTGGCTGGGGCTTGTCACCCAGACCCGGCTCAGCTCTGGGCAGGGTTTGTCGGTTCATCGTGGCTACAAGCCCCTCCCCGGGGTTTGCTTGGCAGGTTCTGAGCCATGGGGCAGCGCTGCTGGACTTTCCCGGGGCCGGGGCGGGAGGTGGACACACACCAACGTGCTTCCGAATCTCCCCCCGCTTCGCCGCTTGGAATTCAGGCCTCCCTCGGGCAGCGGACCCTGCTCCTGGGTGAGGACAAGGCTGGAGCTGCCAAGCGTCTGACACTTGCCACTTTCATGTCCTGCCGGAGCCTTGGGCCGGAGCCGGGGCCTTATCAATTAGGGCCCTTCGGTGAACCCTGGCTGTGTCTGCGGCAGCCCCCAGGTCTGGGACCCCCCCGGGCTGACCCATGGAGCAGACGGACGGACGCAGAGTGAGGGAGCCAAGGGGAGGCAGTTTCCTGCCTCGTGGAGCAGCCTGGCCCTCTGCGCAGCTCTCTCCCTGCAGCCTCTAGGGGTAACTGCTGCCTTGTTCCCAGCGGCCCCAGGCTCTGTGCCCCTCGGACACACCCTGCAGGGTGGTGGGCGTTCACACTGCTCATGGGTAGGGAACCCCTGGTCTCACCCAGCTCCAGTTCCCCATGCCTGGCAGCCTGCTCTCTAGCTCTCCACTGTGTGCCAAGTGCCTCGGGAGCAGGGACGTGGCACCCACCTGGGGGGCTGGCAGAGCCAGTGGGCAGGGGTGCAAACAAAGGAAGCCTCTCTTCCCTCCCCCTGCACCCAACTGCAGGCTCCGGGGACAGGAGGCTGCCAAAGGGCTGGGAGAGTCTCCGGGCCCCCCATGGAAGGCCTGAGAACAGCATCTGTGGCAGGGAGACGGGGTGGGGGAAGGACTTGCCGGAGCGAAGGGAGAGGCGTCTGACCGGCCATTGCTGCCCCGGATCCGTGACCCCTAGAGATACGGGCAGGGTGAAGAGCAAGGGCGACGGAGCATCCCAGCTCCTGCCGCTGGCTCCAGGGAGCCTCTGCCCGATTCTGAGGATTTGGGGAGCTCACGCAGGGTTTATCTGACGCAGGCCCCGGGTTCCCGCCCGGGGGAGCACTCACAACATGAAGTCCTGCTCCCAGCAGGGCAGGTTCCCCCGCACGGCGATGGTCGTGCTCTTGACATTCTGCACCTTCAGCGTCACGTAGGTGTTGAACTTCTCTGCGGGGAGGGGAGCAGAGGGTGGAGCTGTGGGCCAAGCGGGAGGCCCCGAGGCCCCAGGCAGGTCAGAGAACCTGGCAGGACTGAGAGCTCTCCCCACCCCCCGGCTCGTCCCATCAGCCCGGGAGCCTGCCGGAGTCCAGCACAAGGGAAATGCTCCCTGACTTGCCCTCCCCGTGCCCAGTGCCCCGAGCTCCTCCAGCACCCGCCCGGCCCTGCCCTGCCCTTCCCAGGATCCCAGCCCAGGCTGCTGCCAGCCAGGGGCATGGTCAGCTTCAGCCCACACCCAGCACGGCTAATACAACCTCTCCTGCCCTACACAGCCCTGCCAATGCCCCTCGACCCCCAGCCTGCAGCCCCCTGCTGGCCCAGGCCTGGAAACTGTCATGTCCTCCTGACCCCACCTCCCCTGCTCTAACCACTAGGCAGAGTGACTCACCTTGGGCCCCATCAAACTTGGCTTTTTTAACTGCAAAGAGAGAGAGAGAGGGAGAGAGAGAGAGGGAGAATTGTTTTAGTGTCCAGGCCCAGAGAGCCCCTGGGAGGTGCTCACGGCTCCCTTGTGTCTGCCCTGTCCCAGGGAGCCACGCCCAGACC